TGGCAGGAGATGAAGAGGCGCTGAACATGTTGGAGACGGTGCAGAAGGACGGTCTCGACATGCAGAAAGCGACATGCACTCAAACTCAGTAAGTGAGTATGTATGTATGTATGTATGTATGTATGTATGTATGTATGTATGTATGTATGTATATGTATGTGTGTGTATGTACGTATGTATGTATGTATGTGTGTATGTGTTTGCAGTGTCTGAAAGAAAGACATGTGTATGCATGCATGCATGCATGCATGCATGCATGCATGTATGTATGTATGTGTATGTATGTATGTATGTATGTATGTGTTTATGTATGCATGTGTGTATATTCATATATATATATATATATATATATATGTATATATATGTGTGTGTATGTGTATATGTCTGTGTGATGTGTGAGTGCGTGTATGTGTGTGTATATATATATATATGCATATGCTCTCGGGTCCCGGGCCGCCATCCCCCCCCCCCCGCCCCTCAATGGTATCCCCCCCAACCCCCCCTGGTCCCCTGCTGCTGCACGCCCACCCGCCCTGCCCGCCCCGGCCCGCCCCCGGCGCGCACCTTGCCCTCTCCTTGACCTTGTGCGCGGATCGGGAGTGTCGCACTATGCCTTGCCGTGTGCGGAAAGCGGGAATCGGCGCAGTAGTTTCCAGCATCTGACATGAGTTGCAATGCTGAATTATGAGGGTTTTATGGCGATGGTGATGGTGGCAGATATTCTTTTGAAGGTATTAATGATGAAAATGACGACGACAAGGATGATGTTGAGCATGGTCTGATTGTCGATTCGTGTCCCGGTCTAGAGCAGCACAACATCATGAGCAGTATCACCGATGCCACAGCAAGAGGGAAGACAAGGAGTAACACATAAGAACGTCGCGGCAAACAGAGTACCACCACAGGCCCCACACCACAGGGGGGGCGGGGTGGAAGGGGGGAGGATACCATGGGGTCGGGGGGGGGGGAGGGGTGTGTGGCAGCCCTGCATCATATGTGTGTGTATATATATATATATATGTATAGATGTATACATATACATATATATGCACATATATATATATATACATATATATATATATATATATATACGTGTATATATACATATATATATATATACATAATTGTTTATTCATTTATTTATGTTTACGCTCGTGTTGCGATCCGTGTTCGGACCTGTCGTTCTGTCGTTCTATGTACTGACCTATCCATCTATCTATCTCTCGATCTAGTCATCTATCTATCTGACCATATCTTTTGGATCTATCTGTACAGTTATCTGCATCTGTCTAGTTATCTTTAAATGTCACTATCTACCCACCTCTACGTCCGTGCCTACATCTGTCTGTCTACCTGTCTATCGAGCTGTCAGTGTGTCTGTCTATCCATCGTAGCTTTGTTGATGTGCTTTTTGTTTTTTCCATGTTGTACTTATATGAGTCTGCTTGTACTTATGCACGTTCATCTGCAGTTGCAGCAGCTGTACATAGATGTGTGTGGATGTACAAGACGGCAACATTGAAATCATAATCAGTGTGATCGGCAGTGTCTCGGTGCGTGCTGCTAAGTGCTCGGCAGTGTCGCTCAAGTTGATGTTCAGGGTCGTTGACCATGATGACGATGATGGTGAGGCTGTTGCTGCGTTTGTTGGTTGTGTTCTTTTGTTGCCGTTGTTAGCGGTGCTTGGCAATCAATTTGGGAGGTGGGGCGGGCGGGGAGGCGTTGATGTTGGTGTTGCTGACGTTGCCGTTGTTGTTGTTGCTGCTGCTGCTGTTGCTGCTGTTGCTGTTGTGGTTGCTGGTTCTTGGTTCTTGGTTGTTGTTGCTCCTCAGACCGGATCTGCAAACAACAAGCCTTTTGTGCGGCTCAGATGGGATGTTGCATGTTTGTTCGAAACAACACCTACAGGTGTCAGTATAGGACCCATGCAAATAACCTTGCGGTCCCTAGATCAGTGACTGGTTTAATGGCTTTCGTGATCCCTGTTGCACCTAATTCGGGGTCTTTCGGTCATGTCGACGAAGGAGTCCTCTGACCGTAATGTTCAATACGCAGCACGCGATGCGGCCGCGCGGATCCGGGGCGACACTTGGCCTATCGCAGTCATGCAGCGTACTGGCTTTATAAGACCCTCCCCAGACACGAGGCTGCAGTCGTTGTTAACGTCTTGTGCAAGGTCGGTGTCCTGTTCCTCTACACGTAATGTTTTCGATGCCCATAAGAGCCATGGATTGCATCCCCAGCTTGCCCGATCAGGAAAAGTGTGCAAGAATTCCGATACGAGTAGTTGTGCAAACAGTTCATCCTCAGGAACATAAGGTTTGCAAAAGCGAAGCCGTAGTTTGTTTGACCCTCAGTCCCATAGCCCGAGACCTAAACCCGGAACCCTAAAAAAGACATTTCCGCGCCAACTCAAAGTTGATTTCATGCCAGGAGGACATCAACCCAACGCGCACAGAAGACATGCACAAAGAAGACATTTGACCTATCCCTTTTGGCACATAGTGCCCAAGGGTCTGCATACTTACTGTTTGTAATTATTCCTTAAGGCTGCGTGTAATTTCCAACAAAAGCAATAATTAATATATTTACTTATTACCGTATTATGAAAATGGGCAAATAGACAAATAACCGTAATGGCAACAATAATACGGAACACCTGATTCTGACCACTAGGCCCATATATGAATATACTCTTTTGCGAAGAATGTCGGTTTAGGGTTTAGGGTTTCCTACCTATAGTCTCCATTGTAGTTCCGTTTTTGGTTAACGAGTTTTATGGTTAGGATCCTATAATGCAGTTTTGCGTTAACCAAGAAAAGGGCCTACAATGGAGACTATAGGTAAGCCCTAAACCTCGCACCCCTAGTCACCAAGAGGCGAACCCTAAATTTTAAGTCAACAGCCCTAAAATTCAACCCCAAACCTTGAACTTGAAGGTTTCGTTGCAGTGCTACCTAGCAAGAACGCCAGCATGATTTCAGTACAGATCGACGGTCCGCAGCAAAACTTATTTCCAGTGGCACAAGTAGGCAGCGGCAGAGAGCTCCGGCACTGAGATATTACTGTAGCTTTTGTGCGGTAGTCCCTCTTGAATTTGCCGTTGGTGGCGCTAGTGGCGGTGGCATCAACCGCGATGCCAACTTGGTGCTTCTACCGCATCATTGAGCTCGTCACAACCACAACCCTCACCATCCACCATCACTGCATCACCACATACCTAGAGTCTCCATTGTAGTCCCTTTTTTGGTTAACCAGTTTTAGGGTTAGGATCCATAGTAGAGATTTTGGTTAACCCAAAAAAGGAACTACAATGGAGACTATAGGTAGTTTCCAATTAAATCCAAGTATACATGCCTCAGAACAGAGGGTGCTAGCTTCCTTGGGTACACCCGAATATCTGCCTACTGAACTACCACCCTACACCCAAGTACCTTAAGGATCCCTAGAGCCCCGTAGAAACTCTAGAAAGTATAGTCGATAGAACCCTTATATACGACCCTTATAGAGCCCTGTTCGTAGCCCGAACTGGTTATAGTACCAGTAGGCCACATGTCGAATACCTTTCGGAAGTGTTGCAAGGATCCCAGCGCGCTGCCTGGTGCACAGCCAGCCAAGTTGCTGGGTGCCTTTGACGCGAAGGAGTGACGCCGAGACATGCTCATCCCACAGTTTAAGGTTTGGGGTTTTCGGATTACATCCAGACTACCATCACTAAGCTGCATAGAATGTTCATGCTCGGTCACGCTCAAAGTGTTTGTCAAGCCTGTTCCGTGTATACGTGTGATTGAACAACTCTTTTCTGAAGGATGTAGTTTGATGTAGCTACAAGTTGCGGAAAGCTGCATGACAAAAAGGACGCGACACAATCTCTGGCCCGAAGATTCACCTACCTTGGCGTCTTCAAGTTGAATTCTCGCAATTCGCTCACGTGCTGATGCAACTGCACGGCTGCGGCTACGCGAAGTAAACTCTAAACCCAACTCTCCTCAAACCTTAACCCTAAGCCCCAAAACCACAGAAAAAGCGGCTTTTAGATGATTGCAAAGAATAGCTCTAGGCCCAAGCCTTAATTGATCGTGTTCTTTAGATGCCCTGCTATCGGTCGTCCCGCACAGGGAGACTTTACAGAACATTCTGAAGGGCGTTTCTTTACTGAAGGGGTGCATGATTCATGGTGTATCGTGCCATGATTGTGGAGTCAGGGCTTTGGGGTTTAGGTAGCATCGACGGGTGCTGCCGTCAAGGTCACTGTGACAGCCAGGGAACAAACCAGCTTTCCTGTCATTCTGCTTGAATGGTGTTTGCTACTTTCGCAGGGAGTCCAGGAGACATTGTCCAATGCTTGAAGGCTCATGATAAGTATGAGCGGTTTAGGCTTTAGGGAATCTAAGGTGTAGATCTTTTGGGTTCGAACCCAGTGAATGAGCCCGTGGTACGATTCTTGTGGGCTTGGGACCCCACAAAGATCTCACCAAGAACCCTTTGCAGGGGTTCTGTTACTCTCCTAGGTAGGAGTCGGATGAGTAGGGTTTAGGGTTCAGGTTTCAGGGTTCAAAGGATGTTTACAGGTTTAGGGCTCTGGGGTTGCAGGGGGCAGAGGTTGTTGGACTTTAGGCTTGAGGGCTTCAGGCGCTAAGGTCAGTCAGGGCTTCGGGTTCTATCTGCAGCTCAGCCCTGGCCTTGGGGAGTAAGCAGCAGGGTCGGCATTTCTAGCAGTACTATCCCCATTTCAGTCTATAAGTCGAAACAGGATTCTGGTATAATGTTCACCGAAATCTCATTTTCGTTGGTTGTCAAGGTGCTGATGTCGTCAGTCCCTATTCTCTCGGCCCTGTCGCTGCCATCCAGGAAGCAAATCTCCTCCATCGTGGGCGAATGCAGAAATCGTTTTTTTCAACAAGTTGCTGCTTCAAGCCCAACTTTCCCTGTGAATCTTCAACCGTTTCATGACGGTTTAGGGTTTAGGGTGTACTTTCGAGATAGTCCGCCTTGGCATCATGGCTGACCATCGGCGCGGCCGCTTGGCACTTTGCGCGCTGGCATTGCTTTGCGTGCCATGGCTGGCATATGGGTAGTTGTCAAAATTGAGGTCCCTTTTTAGGTACCCTAGATATTAGGTGCCGTATTAAATTCAGGACCCAAAAAAGGACCCGAATTTTGACAACCACCCATATCCCTCAATCCCAAAACTTAGTGCCATGCGGAGGTTGCGGCGCTAAACCTCACAGGGCCTAGAGGCCCTCGCGGATTTTTGTTTGGGGTCCTTTTTGGGTCCTTATTATGATACGGCACCAAATAATTTAGGGTACCCAAGAAGGGACCATAATTTTGACAACTACCCACGTGGATATAAGGCTCAACGCATTGTCTACGCCCAACACTCGTTCGGGGTTCCTTGTTTTTGTTACGGTGAGAATTTTAAAACATGTGGGGGGCGGGCAACCCAAGATCCAAACAGCCTTCCAGCCCTCCTGCCTTCCAGCCTTCCAGCCCTCCAGCAGCCTTCCAGCCTTCCAGCCTTCCAGCCTTCCAGCCTTCCAGCCTTCCAGCCTTCCAGCCTTCCAGCCTTCCAGCCTTCCAGCCCTCCAGCCCTCCAGCCTTCCAGCCTTCCAGCCGTCCAGCCTTCCAGCCTTCCAGCCTTCCAGCCTTCCAGCCTTCCAGCCTTCAGCCCTCCGGCCTTCCAGCCTTCCAGCCCTCCAGCCTTCCAGCCTTCCAGCCCGTCATTCTCAGGCATGTCTTGCAATGTGGCGCTGCGAATGAAGGCTTGGGCTGGAAGGCTGGAAGGCTGGAAGGCTGGAAGGCTGGAAGGCTGGAGGGGCTGGAGGGGCTGGAAGGTTGGAAGGCTGGGCTGGAAGGCTGGAAGGCTGGGGAAGGCTGGCGGGGCTGGAAGGCTGGAAGGATGGAAGGCTGGAAGGCTGGAGGGGCTGAAAGGCTGGAAGGCTTGAAGGCTGGAGGAAGGCTAGAAGGTTGGAAGGCTGGCGGGGCTGGAAGGCTGGAAGGAGGCGCTGGAAGGTTGGAAGGCTGGAAGGCTGGAGGGGCTGGAAGGCTGGAGGGGCTGAAACTGGAAGGCTGGAAGGCTGCTGGAAGGCTGGAAGGTTGGAAGGCTGGCTGGATGGCAGGAGGGGTTGGAAGGCTGGAAGGCTGGAGGGCTGAAGGGCTGGGAAGAGGGCTGGAGAGGCGAAGGTTGGAGGACGGAGTCTGCGGGCTGGAGTCTCGTGTTGTTGTCTTTCCGTGTGTTTTAAAATTGGGCGGCCCAGAGATAATGCCCACGGAAGTAGTATGACACACCTGTTTAACTTGTTTAGATGTCCGGGTATTTAAAAATCATCGCCGTATATCCAAGATACCCTTCTCTTATTGTTCAGGCCGTTATATTGCTTGAGAAGGTCGACACCTCAAACTCCAAAATAAATACTCTAAAATCCCAGGTCTAAGTGGGTCTGCACCCTAAGGAGTACTTGGAGGCTCGGGGAACATAGTAAGTAGGCACAAAGTAGACTTATATGTAGCCTGACAGGAATCCCAGCTGGGGTTAAGGTACTTATGAATACGTTAGAACCCTAAGCCCAAAAACTTAACCCTAAACCCGTAAAATAAGTCTATAAAAGAACTAGTTACCTTAAGGTAAAAGCCAGAAAGTTGGAATATGATTATCCTAACCCTTCTATGGCAAATTATAGGGTATCCTACCATGAAACCATATTCCAACTTTCTGGAGTTCCCTGTAGATACTAGTTAATTCCCCCGACCATCCAAGTAAAATCTCAGCCCGGAAGTCCATTTCTTTGCGTCGGTTGTTTGCAGGTTGCCTTTCCAAGGTTGGAACCGGAAGTGTCCATTCCTGACTATACTTGTAGAATATCTTTATATCATCTATATATGTATGACCATATATATATATATATATGTATGTATATAATGGCTACATCCATCCATCCATCCTTCCATCCATCCATCCATCCATACAGTTGGCCACAAGCCCTGTAAACCCTATACCCGAAAACACTCGCTGTCGCCATCGGTGTTTAGGGGTTTAGGGTTTCGAGCTAATTACTCCGTTCCCGACAGTAGGATGTCGCCTTCGCTCACGTTTGTCCTCCTGTGGAAGGCATGTCTCGGTCTTCTAGAGACTTTACCCTAAACTCTAAAACCTAAACCCTAGACTCTAATGCTGCTAGAGACTTTACCTTAAACCCGAAACCCTGAACTCTGAAACCCAAGCCCCAAGCTCTAAAGCCTAATCCATAAACCCTAAACCCTAAAACCGAAACCCTAAATTCCAATACACGCTTACTGGGCGCTCCAGATGGCTTCGAGTGGGAATGCCTAAGGGTCCATGACATACTTTGGCCCCAAAGTACCTATATAGGGACTACTCTAATATTTGAGGCCACTGTATATACTATATGAGTGCATGAAACCCTTATGGAGTGCTTCAGAAGAGGCGTATGCATCCAGCGAACGGAACACAACATCTTGGTCTTGTGCGGTGCTCAAGACCTGAACTAGGCTGCAGTCTCCATTGATAGTTCCTGTGTTGGGTTACCTTAAGGTCCTCGGTGAGGCACCCACGCAGCAGCAGTGGTATACTTGAAGTACGGAAAGACCTCAAACTAATCACTTGTTTTCGCTATTCGGAATTGGAGCCTTACTGTGTGCAGCTGTGGATTCCGAAGGTGTGGCCCCACACTTTCCTCGCACCTGGGACATCCAATGAGGCCACGAACTGAAGTTTGGGGTTTAGAGGTGTAGGGCGAAGATAAGGGAGCAAGACGATCGACTGGCATCAATGCTTGGTATGTCGATTTTTCTATTAGCATCGCGGGTATCCTTACTAGACTTGCTGGTATTTGTGCTTCGGCTGCCCGTATTGCTACTCCTGCTGGACTATGCGTTTACTGTTCAAGTTAAACAGGTATCACGGTCATGGGTTTTGTTGCATTCTGGTTCAAGGTTCAGGTTTTGCCACTACCCTCGCATGTAAATTCGACGCCATTTTTCTACCGCAGCCCTCGGAATCTTGTTCAAACCTATCCTTCACTGCATTCTGAATCCCAATTCCCCCAGCCAAAAGCCCTCATTTGTGAACGTAAAGCCATAAACTCCCTCGACTTTACACCCCGAACCCGTACACCCCTAAACCGCCAAACCTAATTTCGTTCGGATCTATTTTAAGCTCGTGTGTAGCCTTATAGCCATGTAAACCTCTTGTAGGGCCCACAGCCGAAATTCTTCTGGACCGGGCTACTGGCAGGGTGGGTTGCCTCGCCGGGGCGCTCTCTTTGCCACCTCGGCACTGCTGGCGGCACCGAAACTCACCGACAGTTTACGACCTGACTATTTAGCAGCATAGTGAAAACTCACATTCCCTAAATGTTCATGTGCCTGGTGAACACTTTGGCCCTATATCGCGATATCGAAACGCGTTTTACTGAGGTCAAAGTCAACATTACACAGGTGCATGGACCCGTGGGGGCATACTGTAGGGGCCGTAATAATGACCTATACTATTTTGGGCCCATGACCTTTTAAGTAGGGTTTAGGGTTTAGGGCTTTCTTTGCGGCTTGTGGTGCCTCATCAGGACATTTTGCCCTCTTCTAATCAACACTTCCATGCTAAGCATATGGCCTCAAGCCCTTAATCCTAAACGTAAACTTCAAGCCCAAATCCTGAAACCTATGCTGAAACCCACCTTGATCCTAATCCTAAGCTTAAACTTCAAGCCCAAATCCTGAAACCTAAGCTGACAACCCAGGACTGAGCCTGCGCGTGCGGAGGTCGGTTGGCAGATCAAGCTCCCCAAGTCGGGTTCTCAGACCTAAACCCTAAACCCTAAACCCTAAACCCTAAACCCTAAACTCAGAGATGTTGTTCTGCTCTTGTAGGCCCTTTAAAGAGATCCTTATAAGGCTTCCTTAAAGGGATCTCTAAGGGTTCCTTTAAAGGGATCTATAGGGGTTCTCAGAGATTTTCAGTTCTGCTCTTGTGGGAGTTTCCGAAAATTAGGGGTACCTTAGGGCTCCTTTAAAGGGATCGATAAGGGTTCCTTTAAAGGGATCGATAAGAGTTCTGTAAAGGGTTTAGGTTTTAGAGTTTCCGAAACTTAGAGGTACCTTATCTTGGGGTCCTTATAATAAGGATCCTACTATTTAGGGTGCTATCTGAGGGTCCCCTGTTTTGGGAAACTCCCTTGTCTTGCCCTAAACCCTAACCGAGGTTTAGGGGTAATTGTACCTGTAGGCTCATACCCTATCCCTGTTTTAGGGTATCTATTTGTCTATATAGCAGATCCTAACCATAAAACTAGGTATCCTAAGAAAGGGGCAGGGTATGAGCTTCTAGGTAGTGGTTTCAGGTTCCGGATTTATGGAGGTGTTTTGGTACCTTTTTCGCAAAAAATCTCCGCTGGAGCGAGGACTTGGCGCGCCTTCGAGCAGAATGAGATGCCACCGCCAGGGGCTGCTTGCCTCACCCGGAGTCCAAACGGCTCGAGACCGTATGTCTTTCTTTGGCTTAGATCACATGTTGACGTATTCAATCGTTACTGCACTTTTGCTGCGTATGCCAACCGTTCTAAATAGGCACATCGACATGATGGTTCTTGCTGCTACTGCTGCTACTCTATGTGTCTAAGTCTAGAGTCTAGTGTGCTACCTACAGTTACTTCTGAACTCGAGGGTTTTACCTGCACTTGCTATTGTGACCAGATTTTGTGATGAGTGTGGCAGAGTCCTGACTTTTGACATGAGTGAACCTTGTGCCACTGTGAAGGGAGCTCAGCGCGTGCGGGATTGAGCAAGCAAGGAGGCCTAGGATTCACAACCCTTCGTTTCGATGGACCATATATCAAGCGACACCTGTAGTGCATAAAGAAGGGGTCATGTGATTCATGGGCCTGCATCGTTTGTTGCTACCGGCGCTGTATTTCTACATGACATAGGTATTTTAGTTATGCTTAGAGCTATCGAGCGTAATGTTGTTATCTTTTCGCTACCGTTGTTTTGGGCTGGAGACAAGAGTCGAGGCTGTTGGCACTGTCGCTTCGTTTTCGGTTTAGGGTTTAGGGTTTTAGGGTATAGAGTTTAGGGTTTTAGGGTTTAGGGTTCAGAGTTTAGGTTTTGTGTAGAGGCTGCCTGTTGAACTTGTGACACCGGGGTGGATGCAGGGCTCTGAAGATGATGCTGCCTATGAAGATAGCCATGATGACGGCGGTTTCGGGCGTGTAAAAACTTGTACGGCTGTGTAGGGCGCGCTCAGCAGTTTAGTTCTCTGTACAGCCGGCAGCAAGCCGTAGTTTACATCCGATTCTGTCTCTTGCAATGTAATTAGCCTGATGCTTGACAACCCGCCATCACTGCAAAACTCGATGGTCGGTTCGATTCGAAGAGCCGTATCCCTCCCATCAACTCTAAATCTAAACCTAAGCCCTAACTCCCCAAACCCCAAACCCCCGACCTCACACTCAGTCCTATAGTACTCAGATACTCCAAAACCGCTAATCAAGGAAATTTTAATGGGATGCGTAGGATGATTTAAGGTATATTCCGGCTTTGGAGTCTCTGGGTAAAAGCTCAGAGTATAAGCTCTGATTGCTACTTTAAGGCTTCCTCCGGGGGTTCCTTTAAGAGTTCCTTTCAGGGTTCCTTGAAGCTCAGGTCAAGAAGTCCACTGCCCTGGTCGTAGCCGGAAATCCCGAACAAGGTGCATCAGCGATACTGAGGCTTTAGATTTCAGGGTTTACAGTAGAAGCCAGAAAGTTGGAATATCATTATCGTAACCCCTTTAAGGTAAATTATAGGGGATCCTACCATTAATCCATATTCCAACTTTCTGGAGTTCCCTGTAGGGGGTTTAGGGGATAAGGGTTCAGGGTGTAGGGTTCAGAGTTTAGGGTTTAGGGTTTAGGGCAAGCGGTTTTAGTCGAGCTTCCCGAATTGTCTACACTGGAGACCCTGCAGCTTCGCGACTTCTTTTTTATCCCAAGCTCAGCTTTTCGTTCATGGCAGTAAACTAGCAGAAGCATTGTCGGAGATGTCGCGTTTCTAAACGCTGCCCCAAGCTAGCCCCAAACTTAACCCTAAGCTGTAACCTCTAACTCCTAAGGGGAACTCCAGAAAGTTGGAATATGGTTTCAGGGTAGGATACCTCATAATTTAACATAAAGGGTTTAGGATAATCATATTCCAACTTTCTGGCTTTTACTCTAAGGCCACAAGACCCAAGCCTCAGTTCAAGGATCAGAGTTAGGGCTGAGGATTACTCGGAGGGTCGGGGGACTTAGGAAGTAGTGACTTTATAGAGTACGTATAGTATCATAACCCCAATCAGGATCCCTTTTCGGCTACTTATACCTCTATTTATCTACTTACTAAGTCCCCCGACCCTCCAAGTAGGTTTTAGGAGATGAAGTTTAGGGTTTAGGGTTTAGTTTTAGGGTTTGTTTAGCTGCTAGCTGCTCATTGGGTATAGGATTGATTGTAGGGTCTAGGGGTGCTAGTTTATCCTCACGGGTTGTTACAGACATACATCCAGGACCGCCAAAGGGCCCTTATGGCTTATGGCCCTTAACAGTGGGTATTTGGGGTATATTTAGAGGGTAGTTGGGGCGGGGTCTAGATTGCAAGCCGACATCACAAGGCCTCAGCTTTGCAGCCTAGTATAGTTAGGAATCTCGAGCCTGCTCCAGAAGCTGCAATCAAAGTATGCAGGGCATATAACCCTACCTCCTCTAGGTTCCTGAGTAGTAGTATGCTCTTGCCCTTTTGATTTTTGGGTCCCTTGTTAAAACCGAATAGTAGAAAAAGGAGGTGTGCATAGTATGATGGGGCTACTCAGGAACCTTGTCCTAAACCGTTCTGATCGTCCCAGGTAGAAAGCCTGCGAATTGAGCTGAGCACATACACTAACTTGCACAGCGGCACGCGGTCTTGTGGTTACAGGGTCGAACCTTAAACCCGAAATGCTGCAGGGAGAAATCTTTTCTAGTCAGCCAGTTGAACATAAAGCACTTCAATATTTCTGAAAATCCTTCGTCACAAGCCCTTCTTCTGGCCCGTAGAAACCATAGGCGGTGAGCTCGTGGTCCTGCGCGTGCCACTCTCCACGGACCCGAACGATCCCAACTCGAAGGGGACCAAGGCAACGGGCTTCGCGAGGGCTGGGGTTCGAGGGCTCAGGGTTTAGGGTTTTGGGTGTAGGGTTTAGGGTTTGGGCTGTTGGCGCTTCATGGTCTGTGGCCTTGGTGTAGTACTTGTAGTTATGACCATTGGAGCTTGGAGAGGGCTTTAGATTTAGGATGGTTTAGGGTTTAGGGCAGCCTCGTACTATGCTGTTGCCAGACTTCTCCGAAATCTTCCATGTTCATGACGAACAGCGTTTGTAGTGAATGTTCTTTGCTGAGCTGTTATTTTGCCGAGTAGGAACAGATCGTCATATACACCCCTGAGTGACAACCGGCACACGATTGAGGGCCTTAACGGAAGGATCCTTATCATAATCCTTACTATAGAGGGAAGTCTGAATCATCAGGAGTCTTGGTGATCAGGGGGCTAAGAGATTAGAGCATGTATGCGGAGTATTCGACTTTCATAGGATTTCAAGCAGGGCAGCAAAAGAAGTAAACTGGTTGCAGCGCAGTGGAGGGACAGCTACAGCTGCGATTCAGGGGCATACAATGCCATAAGAATCGAGGCGAAGATTGGGGTTTACCTATAGTCTCCATTGTAGTTCCTTTTTTTGGTTAACCAGCTTTGTGGTTAGGATCCTATAATAGAGATTTTTGGGGGTTCAAGGTTTTGGGACTTAAGCTTGTGTTTTAGGTCTTTCCTCCCAGGTTTTTCTTCCTTGCATTTTAGATGCATAGTCTTGGGATTGAGGGCGTCCAGCGCAAGTAGCTCCAAGCCTGGGGGGTGGGGGGGGGGGGGAAATATTGGGGCCTTAATAATCAGAGTAGGGTTTTGGGTGGTTTTTTTTTCAACTATAATAGGGAACCCCAGAACCTTATTCTAATTAATAGTACAGGTTTAGTTGTTGCACTTGCTTGGTTTGGCAGTCCTCAATCAGCGAAAAGCTAGGGCTAGGGCTTCACATGGGACTTCACTGCTTCCTGTTCACAGCCGGGGAAGCAACATTCCCTGCTTGTCCATGTACCCAAGTAGTTTATACTTTGGCTTCGGTAGATTGAGCCCAAAGTAGATACTATTTGGGCACATGGACCCTTAGGGATTTGATGTGAGTCTACCTACTGAGGTCCCACTGCAGGCAGCATCTCACCGAACCCCAAGGGTCCCAAGGATCCAATAATGAGGTATTTGGGTTTAGGATAGTAGTCATGTAGGTTACTATTTCGGAGAGTGCGTGTGATCGTGTCCTCCAACGTTTGTTTTGAAGAAGGTTTGGCAGGAAGCCCAACAACTCCCGCAGCGGGCACCGGCAGGGGATCTTGCGATACTTTGCTCTGACCTTCCCACCACTTTCGTTTTGCTAGCCGTGAGAGGAGTTACAATCGAGAGCTTGGGTGCCTGGATCTTCTTGTTCTAAGCTGCGACGCGCTTAACCCTAAGGGTCCATGTACTCATGTAGTATAAGTATATACGTTGGCCTTAAAGTAGTTCCTAATATAGAGGTACTTTGAGGCCAAGTATATACTATATGGGTACATGGACCCTTAGGGTGTTTAAAAATGCAACATCTCACAATTCATGTTTTTCCCCGTGCCTGTTAAGCTTCTGCCAGGATCTGATCAACTACTTCAGTCAGTATGAGGGGAAGCCATCAGTGCCTATCAAGAAGGACTCCCGACCTGTTTGGGGATTTACGACTTTGGGGTCCAAGTTATTGTAGTGTTGTAAGACGGCTTCACACGTTTACATTGGCTCGTACCAGGGCTTGACAGGGTTTCTCCAACAGATTATGGGTATCCGCTAGTTGTTAGGTGCATCTTTTGTGCTTCTGTACTTGAGTGCATGTTTTGGGGTTCACCCCAGTTTGAGAAGGTCATGCAGACAACAGACCGAATGCTGCACCCTCAACCTATCACCAGGGGCTCTAACGACTGTACTGAGCTGTATTGCCCGTGGCAGCTTCAGCATTCGTAAGTGGGCGGTTTAGGTGTTTTGGTAGGCTTTTCTTGTGTTTTGAGATTGTCTTGCATCTATTCCTTACGATGTCCCATGTTGCATTCTTGTGCATCATTACCGTATCTACAAGTGAGTTCATCTGAGCCCCGCGATTGAAGCTTCGCTGCTTAACAACTATGCTGCTGCGAGGTTTGCACACGAACTGCCGCTCGTTTCCATACCATGCCGTCTAGTTTTGTTTCAGCCGATTCATCGTGTGTGCATTCTGTCTTTATTCTGTTTTTCAGGGCCTGCAGCGGGACTCAGTAGGTAACGAGGGTACCCCAAAGCTTGAAAGGATCCTATACGAGGTCATGAGACTTGTAAGTCTACTTAAAGGGTCATGGGACTTAGTAACTAGGGTTATAATTAGGGCAACTATACTTGTAGATACTTATAGCCCAAGTTAGGGTCATAACCCTACTTACTACGTCCCATGATCCTCCAAGTAGAAAGTATATCTACTTGCTAAGTCCCGCAACCCTCCAAGTAAGAAACCTTTTGCACCAGAAGAGTTTCAAGTTGAAGCTTCCTACCAACACAAGTCCATCATAAGATGAAGCATGTACCTACACTACCATGTAAGACACTTTTTTTGTATGTACATACAACCTAGTTTCTGGTTGGGATCCTTTAGTCAGGAGCTAAGACAACCAAGCAAAGGCGCTAACTGCAGAATAGCTCTGGGTCTACGTATGACCACAGGCAAAAGCTCACGCCCAAAGACCCCCACCCCACCACCCGACCCCACCCCACCCCACTGATCCAAACCCTAAACCCCAAACCTTACCCCTAATGTAGGAACCTGATTAAGAAACCTCGGGCCTTTTTTAGGGTTCCTTATATGAATCCTATTATTTTGGGGGTTATAGGACCAGAGTTTCTTAATCAGGCTCCTACATTAAACCCTATCCCCGAAACCAAACACCCTGAACAGTAAGTCGTGACCTCCTAACTGAAAAAGGCGGTGGACGTCGTTGCCTCCTCGCAAAAGACGGGAAGGGGCATGGTGAAGCTCTTCGACGAATTGAGGGCTTTAGTAGGGCTTAGTATTTAAAACAGAAGCCTGAAGCATTACTAGCACTTTTTTCTTAGAGGTCCTTATGATAATTTCGCATTGCAATGTACCCCGAAGGCTATTCTAGCTGTGAAGGTCCCCTACATTAGTTTCAGGGCTTTGCCGGTTGCAGGGCCACGGGTCCTACTGTAGGGTCATTACGTGCTTTTGGAGGGTCGGGGGCAAAAGCTGTCATGTGGAATTCCCCGGCCATTTCCGAAAATAGGGGGTGCAAAGAGAGTGCCCTAAATATTAGGATCCTTAACATAAGGAGCACAAACTAAGGTACCCCTAATTTTCGGAAACTCCCATCTATGTTCCTTGGCTGTGGGTATCCTTGCATGCATCTTAGGGCTGGGACCAAGGACTCTTGAGTAAGGGGTCTTTCGAAAAAAGTGTTCAACTATTCAGAGACCCCTGAGAGCCTATAAACCTATAAGCTCTATACCGCATCTTCTCCATTGTAGTTCCTCTTTTGGGTCACCGTAAAGGATCCTCAATATACAGCTGATACAGCGGCACGAAGGACCTAAAAAGCTACAATGGAGACTATAGGTAGGGCCCTAAACTCTCTCCGGGCAGTTGCGCGATTGAAAGCTCCGTTTCACTGACCGGCGGCTGGGTTTATGTCGTGCTGGTCAATGGCGTTAGTTATTTTGAACATGCCACGGGGAAGGTCATGAGCTTCAAGAAACCCCGGGCATTCGAACCAGTGCTGCCGGTGCCACAGCCAGACGGCCAGGCGGAGCTGAATGGCTGGGAAGCGTGGCGAATGCACCCGGTCGACAGGTCTCCGTCGAATCCGCAGGAGACCGGCCGGGCCGGGAACGAATACAACGATCATCAGCACAAATGGTTTTGGCACCACCAGAGCAGACACTCCGCACCGTGGTCTTTCCTGGAGGATGGGCAGCCTGACTTCGCTATGCTGCAAGGATGAAGCGGATTCGCGACTTGGAGGATACTCGTGCTGCCGAAGAGTTCGCGAAGAGGCAATGTTGAAACTAAACGTCTAAACCCTATACTACACCCTAGGCCGCTATTACCTCTAGCCTCAGGCATGCACACTGGTGTGGGGGGGGGGGTGTTTCACTGAAGTCAGAATTTCTGGCAGGATTCTAACACTAGAAAAGTTTAAGCTATCTAGACCCTAAGCCCTAAACTCACTAGAATCCTTAAGCTATCTAAACAGACGTTCACTATTCTGGAACAGAAGCGGCTCGTAACAAGACCCTTAATGGGGACCCCTACCCTATAATGGGCTATATAATGCGTATATAATGGCTATATTAAGGGTATATACCTAGGGGTCCTTATTAAGGGTCCCTCCTTTTACCCTTGGATAGCTCCTTTTTCCCAAAGGGTCCAAAGTATCTATATGGCAGCTTAGGGTTAGGGTGTAGGGAACTTCAGTGTCAAGACCAAATGGGAGTTTCCGAAAATCAGGGGTACCTTGTTTTGGATTCCTTATAATAAGGATCCCACTAGTTAGGGTACTATATTAGGGTCACCTGTTTTCGGAAACTTCCATATAGTAGAATGTAGGGTTTCTATGTTCGGAAAAAAAATATGATTCGGGGAAGTATTCCCCGTAACAGTATCTAGGACCCGTTTGGTTTGAAAAGGTGATTTTGGGAACCCGGAGTCTCAATTCGCCTTGATTTAGGCCGTCGAGCCTACCTTAACCCCAAACCCCAAGGATCCAAGTACCTAATAGTCATATACTTTCCCAAATCCTAACCTACATAACTACTATCCTAAAGCCGAGTACCTGATTATTGGGTCCGTTGGACCCTTGGGGCAATGGCATACCTGGTAAAGGAGCTCTAAAAGGAAATCGTAACTACGAACATGCCAATTGTACGCTAGTTGTGCTGACAATCGGCTACTCTGTTTCACCCCGACCATGCAAAAACACCACAAACCCAAGACACCCTTTACTGGATACTGGATACTTAGGCTAAGACTGGCTAAGATTTCAGGGTAATTAGTTTTGGGGATCCCGGAAACCCAAGCCCAAGACCTGAAAGGAGCCCATCCTGTAGCCACGACGTTTCCGACCTTTTCGAGAAGTTCTCTTTCGGGCTCAGCCCTACCTAGAGTCTCCAGTGTAGTTCCTTTTTTTGGTTAGCCAGTTTTAGGGTTAGGATCCTATAGTAGAGATTTTGGTTAACCAAAAAAAGGAACTAGAATGGAGACTAGAGGTAACCCCTACACCCGGAACCCTAAACACCAGTCCCTAAAAACCCAAAACCCTAAGCCCCTGAACCTTAACCCCTAAACCCCTAAATCCCTAAACCCTAGGGTTGCAGTGCTGTGGGTTCAGGGCTTCCACCGGCCAATCCTGGGATCTCTTGGGTCGTGTAAAGTACGAATGCACGAGGGGTCGTTATGCATGCTGTCTGTGTTCTGCGTCCAGGGAGCTCGCGAACTGTTTTAGTGTAGAAGTTCTGCAAAACCCTGGAGCCCAAAACCAAATCGAGCCTCTTTGTAGAATCCAAACAAAAAAGTATACCAAAGCCCTTACACGGAACCTGTTTTAACAAAACCTACAGTCCTTGCAAACTTTCCTTGTAGAGCCCTTAAAGAGTTGCCTTAATGGGTTATTATGAGGGTTCTTTTAAGGGTTCCTTTATGGTTTCCTTTAACGGAGACCCTGTGAAGCCCAGGTTCAGCGAGTTGGGCTCGCCGTCTGACAAAGTGTTTCGCAAACGCCGCTGCTTGACCTCTAGGGCTTAGGATTTACAGGCGTTGTGGGTTTGAGGTTTAATGTTTTAGGTTCAAGGTTGAAGGGTGTAGGGCAGGGTTGAGGATTTGGGGATTGCCCTAAGGCTCCTGGACCCTCGTAGTAAGATCCCAAACCTTAGCCCCCAAAGCCCGAACCTCTTCCCCCAGAAAGCCCATGACCCCTATCAGAGCCTTAGGGTAGGGTGTCAGGGCTCAGTATCTTCAGCAAGTAAATGCGAATCCCTGCCTCGCTACTAGTGTTCCGAAGGTTGAATCCTGGAATCGCAAAAGTCCACATGAAGCTGGCTTTCCAGCACTTAGAGAATTTCTGGGCTTTAGGGCGGAGGCTGTCAAGTTGTTTTTGTTTGATGGTTTTTTACAGCTCACGGATTGGATTGCTGGGTCAGGTGTCGTTTCAGCAATGTCCTCCACACGGGATAACTCATGATTTTCCTACCTGCTCGATTTATTTGCGACACTCACCACGCCATCGGCATCGCCAACGCCACCATCATCAGCACTAGCCTTAACTCATTAACATCAACATTACCATCATCACGTTCTTCTTCATCCATACCATCCCTAAACCCAAACCCTAAGCCCTAAACCCTTGAACCCCTTCTTCTTCATCAAGAACAGAGGCCGAAACCCTTGCAATGCGGGTTCCCCAGCTTCCAGGCAATCCCGTCGAAGCTTCACCTGCGCCCCTTGTAAGGAATCATGTTTTTTTTGGCTTCCTCTGCAGACCTTCCCTAAGACTCCATGTACCCATATAGGCATCCTTTAAAGCGTACCATAAGGGTTCAGGTTCCTTTGAGGGTTCAATAGGGGCTGAGGGTATAAGGCTCCATGTACCCATATAGGAAGCACTTAGGCCTTACCGGGGTGGCCTAAGTACCTGCTATATGGGTACATGGAGCCTGTGGGCTTAACATGAATCAAAGGGGTTCTTCAACGTCCAACTTGAATTCTGGGTCCAAGTGAAGGGGCCTAGAGTCAGCAAACCAAACAGTATAGTGAATGGTTTAGGCCCCTATACTAGATCCTTATAGTAGCCCTTATAGTAACCCTTATAGACCCCCTTTAAAGGGAACCCCATTCTAATCATTATTAAGATCCTTAAATCCCGAAAGCCTAAAACCCTAATCCCTCATCCCTACAAACCCTAAACCCAGAAAGCCACGGCCCAGGCTACGTGACCTACGACTACGAAGCCAGCATTTGCCCCGGGGTCGTCTCCCGGATGCAAAGAAAGCCCTAAATTCCACCTGCTCTTATTTTAGGCCTCATGGGTTTACTTAGTAGCTGAGTGGATACACTTTACACTTTTTGGGAGAATATTACCCACTATTAAACTGAAAGTGTACACTTTTGGCACATGTTCCATAAGGGTAGGCTGCCACAAGCTGCTTTTCCTAGTAGTAGAGTAGGCAACCTTTAACCTTTTTGGGTAGTATAGTCCCTATATAATCCCTATATAACCAAAAAGATTAACCTTTAGTTCCCCATGATACCGGACAAGTAGGTTTTGGTAGGGCCTTAACAGAATCCCCAGTATATAGAGGCTATACGTTCAACCCTTCCACAAGCAAAGCCCACTGTAAGGATTTCTCGTGCTCAGCCTGTAGTGCGCTTTTTCTACAAGCAGAGCCTTAGATCTGAAATCCCAGCAGCCAACACCCAGCCACCTTGGAACCTTTAGGGTTTAGGGTTTCGGCCGTGGGGACCTAAACCCGGAACGCCAAACCCCAAAGCCTGTCCTTAAAGCGTGGATGGTCTCGGAACTTGAAGGATGCAGCTCAAATCTAGAATTAAGCTGGGGTTTAGCTATTTAGGGTCGAGGGTGTCTTGCAAGTTTCCATTGTTCTCCGTTTGGCATGACGACTCACTGCAGTCGTGACTCAAGTTGTGACGCCCCTAGCTGTTGAATTGCCCTCATCGCTTGCAGTAGCGTTCCCTTCGTTGGCCTGTGTAGGAGTGGTCATATCCCCTCATCGCCATTTGGCGAGTGTATAGTTTGATCAGCCCATAAACCCTAGTCTAAGCGTGCAGGGCTGAAGATAACGAATTGCGAAGCCAAGGATTCTTCTGCGTCACCCCCGAACCCTAAGCCCTGCCAAGCACTAAGCCCTAAGCCTTTAAACCCGGTGACCCTCCTAAAGCCCTAAACCCTTAAACCCTGTGACCCTAAAACCCTAAAGCCTAAAGCCTCAACTCTAAACCCTAAACCCTAAAACCCCTAGACCCTAAACCCTAAACCCTAAACCCCTAAACCCCAAACCCCTACAAGTGCCCCCCGCTGAGGTGACCCAAGGCGTCGGCGGCACCTCGTGCACCGAGCCGCAGGAACCGAGTTTTGGGTCTCGCGCTTAGGGTTTGGGTTTATAAGGGTTTAGGGGCTTAGGGTTTAGGGTTTAGGGATTTAGGGGTTTAGGGGTTTAGGGGTTTAGGTTCAGGGGCTTAGTGTTTAGGGTTTAGGGTTTTTAGGGACTGGTGTTTAGGGTTCCGGGTGTAGGGGTTACCTCTAGTCAGTCTCCATTGTAGTTCCTTTTTTTGGTTAACCAAAATCTCTAAAAAGGATCCTAACCCTAAACCTGGTTAACCAAAAAAAGGAACTACAATGGAGACTCTAGGTAGGGTTTTGGGTTTAGGTTGTAGGATAGGGTTTGGGGGCCCAGTATACTGTAACCGCAACCATAATAGGGAAGCCTAAAAATGGTTTAGATAATCATTAAGGCCCCCATATTAGCATGGTTTGCAAGGTTTTTGTTCTGCTTTTCCGAAACTTCCGATTCGGGGCTAGCTTTTTTGCAGCTTTTCTGTGGGTTTAAATTTGTTCTAGCTTCGTTTCCAGCCTTTTTTTGGCACTTTTGTCTAGTTTGTTTTTGTTTTTCGCCTAGGCCTTGTCAGAGAACAGTGGGGGAGGCTGTCGGTACAAGTAGAGGGCGTCGCAAGGCTTTTAGTTCAGAGTTTACGCTCTCAGTTTCGGAGCCCTACAGTACCTAGAGGCTCATACCCTACCCCATTTTTAGGGCGCCTACTTTTTAAGAGAACAGGTCCTAACCATAAAACTAGGTATCCTAAGAAAGGGGTAGGGTATGAGCCTCTAGTAGGTAGAAGCCCGAAAGTTGGAAACCCCCATAGCCTCAATCCTTAAAAGTAATGTAAAGGGAATCCCATGTTGGCCTTCATCCGGTTTCCAACTTTATGGGCTTTACTACCCTAAGGCTCTATAGTAGCTCCTTTTGGGGGTTCATATTTAGTCCCCAATCTCGGAGCCCTCGACCCCGAGAGCAATTAAGCTTGGTCTTGGGTGCGAGGACAGCTCAGAGATTCCTCTCTTCGAGCGCCGCCACCGCATCGTCATTACAGCCGTGGCCTTGTATACCCTCCCGGAAACGCCCGTGAGCAGTAACCCCAAGGGTCCAAATACCTGATAATCATATAATTACTCTCCAAAATCCTAACCTACATAACTACTATCTTAAAACCGTGTACCTGATTATTGGGTCCTTTGGACCCTTGGGGTAAGTGAAGCTCCACGCGATTTGGGGCCCGGGTCCCGCAACCCAAATCCATAGAAGGGGTTTGAGGTCCCGGAGTTTCCGATTACCCCGAAACCCTAAGCCCTAAACCCTAAACCTCAAACCCAAAACCCTGGGATCGAGGGTTTAGGAAGCGGAGGGCTGAGTGCTGTTCCAGCCATGCACAAGATTCTCACTTGAGTAGATGGCCCTAAATCCTAAACCCTGTTGCCTGTGCGTTGTTCTTCTCTTCGCTGTTCTTGAGGTGACCGATGAGGGCGCTGCCAAAGCGGGCGAGAAGGAGATTGGCGGAGATTAGGTCTTGGGTTTGGGGCTTTAGGGTTTGAGGGTTAGGGTTTGTTTGAGGATTCAGTGATTCAGGTATATACCTATAGTCTCCATTGTAGTGCCTTTTTGGTTAACCAAAATCTCTACTATAAGATCCTAACCCTAAAACTGGTTAACCCAAAAATGAACTACAATGGAGACTCTAGGTAGGGCTTCGGGTTTCAAGTTTTAGGTGTCTTCCTTCTGGACTTCGGACATCAGAGGCCTAGGGCTCCTCTGTGGGTGTTGACGGAAGAACTTGAGGTCGAGGGTCTTAGCGGTACCCAGAGAGCCCAATACCCCTTAATTAAGGAATATGGCTTAAACTATATAGAGCTTCATATTCTGATTTAAGCTATATTCCTTAATGAAGGGGTATTGGGCTCTCTGGGTATGAGCGTAGGTTTGGGGTTCAGGAAACACTATACCGACAGCCAAAATCCGAACGTCCTCTCGCAATAGTACGTGTTCATGAAGAATGGGTCAGTTTCAGAACAGTCACCCCCCCCCCCCCACCCACTTCGAGGCAAAAACTAGTATAGTGTTTCGGGATAGATAATTAATGTGTTACCACAACACGGAAACCGTAACGTTTACAATACATCCGAATCCTTGCAGTATTGGGGTAGCTGAGACTAACTCCCTTGACAAGAACCCTAAGGTTCAAGGTTTGGGTTTGGTGCTTCGTGGCTCTAAGAACCCACTACTAGGTATCGATTTAGGATCATTTCTAATTTCGCTTATAAGAGTGGCTACAAACAACTGTTCAAATCGACGCCTAGTGTAGGAATTCTGCAAAACCTACGTAAACCCCCTTACCAAACCCTATAAACCCTGCACCCCTAAACCCCTCAACTTCTCCACCCTTAAAACCCTGCAACCCCTAAACCCTAAAGCCGTGGCTCTACGATCCCTGTGAGGATCCCACGAACTGGCTGTGGCTCCTTGATATCTCGGGCCCTGCGGCTGAGAGCCGCAACGACTGGGGCCAGCTGAAGGAGGTCGCAATGAGTGGTCGGTTTAGGGTTTGGGTTTGTGGGGTTCCTTCAGGGTTGTGTTTGGGGTTTAGGGGTTGGGGGTTCAGGATTTGGGTTCTAGGGGTTCCTTGAAGGTGTTGTGTAGGGTTTAGGGCTGTGTTGTGAAGGGGTTTGGATTCTGGGCTTTGGTGATGCCAGGTTGGGGTTTAGGGTTTAGTCGAGCTTCGCTTCATTGTGAGGACTCTTGAACTTGCAGGTTCATGTGGGCTTGGAGGCTTTCAGGTTTAGTGCTTGCGCTTTGGTGAAGAGTTTCATTGCCAAATCAGAAATATTGTAGCTTTGGGCTCTCATGCTAAGGGTCCATGTGCTCACACAATATATACTTAAACCCTAAAGTAGTCCTTATGTAGGCACTTTAGGGTCAACGTATACTCATATGGATAGTTACATGGACCCGTAGGGTCAGACAGCGTGGAGATGCAAAGACACCTTCGGTTGTGTTTAGAATTCCGGGAGCAGCTAAGGTCTTTACTTCTGACCCCACGGGTCCCAGTACCTAATAATCATACACGTTCCCAAACCCTAACCTACATAACTACTATCCTAAACCCGAGTACATGATTATTGGGTCCTTTGGACCCTTGGGGTGAATGTTGCAGGTTTATGGGTGGCTTCGAGGGGTTAGGAGTAATTAGGCTTAGGGCTTAGGGTAAGTCAGGGTCTTCGCAATGAGGATACTAGTGGCTTAGGCTTATTCATACCCTGCCTGTACCCCTGCTTCTAAAGTAGGGTGGTAACTGAACTTTGAGCTAACATCATGCTGCCTGCAGAGCCTGTGCAGGCCGTCACAGAGGTGGCAGACTCCTTCTTGTTTCTTGGCTGCAGATGCTTGAGAGGTCATTCGTGTCCACGATCTTTCAAAGCTGTGACTCGTGTGGTTGGCGTGTGTCGCGTATAGGATTTAGAGACAAGGTTTCATGATTAGTGCCTTTTTGGAGCGTGTTTCAAATCAGTCTTCTTCAGGAGCCCTATATAAATAACCTATCTCGAAGGAAATCGTGTAAGGATCCCTAAACAGGTAGGTTTTTCAGTGTCCAGGTGTTCGCCTGTGTAGAAGCCGCCACAAAAGCCTTCCTTCTGACGCACTGGCTCTGTTCGCTGCTCCTCTTCCTCCTCCTCCTCCTCCTCTTCCTCCTCCTGATCGTTTTGCTCTTGCTATCGCCTGCTACCGCTGCTACTACTGCCGCTGCTGCTGCTGCTGCTGCTGCTGCTGCTGCTGCTGTTGCTGCTGCTGCTGCTGCTGCTGCGTGCAGCGGCTGCTGCCGGAGCCGCTGCGGCTGCGGCTGCCTGCCTCTGCAGCTGCTGCTGCTGCTGCTCCTGCTCCTGCTCCTGCTCCTGCTCCTGCTTTTTTTTCTGCTACTGCTGCTCCTACCATCGACAACAACAACGCTGCTACTGCTACGGCTACTGCTACTGTTACTGCTACCGCTACTGCTATGCTCCTGCTGCTGCGACTGCTACCGCTACTGCTAATGCTATCGCTACTGCTACTGCTATCGCTATGGCTGGACCGACAACGTCGCCCTAGCAGCGGCAAGCGAGTCGGCCACGCCGGTCCAGCCTCCAAGCCTAACGGTCCATAGGAGTATTCTTTGGGAATTACATTGAGGCCTATGCATACCTTAACCTACCAAACCCTACTTTTTGTAGGTTCTTATTATGAACCCTAATATGGAGTTTATAGGGACCCCAAAAAAAAGCAGGGTTGGGTAGGTTAAGGTATACTACAAGAATACAGAGGCCCTAAGGAATGGTGATAAGATCCTCGTGATCAGGGGAAATTCCATAGACCCTACCTATAGTATCCATCGTAGTTCCTTCTTTGGGTTCACATACAGAACCTGAAAGACAGACTTGGTTAAACTCACAACAGGAGTTTGCAATGAAGACGACCGTTAGATCCTCCACTCCATGGGTAGTTCTCCGAACTAGGGCCCCCGCTTGTGTACCCAATATGCCACGAAACAAGGTCAAGGACAGCTGGCACACGGCATTCCATACGAGCAAATGTTGCATGATGATTTCCGCGGCATTAACCATGACACAGCGATGGCGTGCTTGTCCCATGAGCCCGCCTGTGTTTGCGCTCACCGTCATAGTCGTCACTGACAGCAGCAGCCGTGATAGTCGCATGCACCGAAGTTCTCACTGCATGCCCAAGCGAGTACTCCGTCATCTGCAACTGTCCCTTGCTAGTACTGTCTAGAACCGACCCTCCGCCCCCAAACCCCCCAACCCTGAACCCGGAACCCCTAAACCCCCATAAACCGTGTGAGCTCTGAACCCTAACTTCAAATCTGGACCTCTTAAACCCGAAACCCGTTAAACCCATTCGTTGGTGGTATAGATCCCTGAAACAGCTCTTCCAGAACCTTAAACTCTAGCATTGAACCACCCTTCTAATTAGAGCCCTTAACTCTGTTGAACCACCCTTATAATTAGAACCCTGGAACACTAAACTAAACCCTATTCAACCACCTTTTTTGGAAGGTTTGTATAGAACCCTTAAAGGGCTCTTCTAGAACCTTCAACTCTATTCAACCACCCTTTTTGGAAGGTTGTCCTCCGATGAGAAGGTTTTGGAGGATGCTCGGACATCGGAGGTGCCGAGTTAGAAGCAGAGAATTCTATGGGTTCAGGGTTCGGGTGGCTGTCAAAATTACGGTCCATTTTTGGGCACCCTAAATAAAAGGTGCCGTATTGTTAATAATGAGGACCCCAAAAGGGACCATGAGTTTGAGAACCACCCGTTTAGGGTTTGGAGTTCAGGGTTTTAGGGTTTAGAGTTTTATGTAACCTTCAGCCTCCAGACCTTCCAACATCCCTGAATGACGGAATATGTGTACTTATCCTTCGGTTCCATTATTAGGATACTGAACAAGTAAGGCCCGCGCAACGCGCCGAGGAGTTGTTAGGGTTTGAGGGTTCCTTTGAGGATTCGGGGTTCCTTCAGGGTTTTTGTGCTGATGGGTTCCTTTACAGTTTCAGAACTGCAGTGTTTCTTTCAGGGTTTAGGGTCTTGGGTTCCTTTTCGGGTTCAAGACCTCCTTTGAGGCGTAAGGGTCGGTTTAGGGTTCGTCTCCGGGTTTAGGGTTTCTGTTTGGGTTTAGGGTTTTGCAGGGTTCCTGTTTTGCGTACGGAGCCCAGGATTCCTCTCAGGGTTCAGGGTTCCTTTTGGTTACTCCATGTGTTCCTTGAAGGGTTCTTTTGAAGGTTCTGTAGGAATATGTTGGGGCTGACAGCTTGAGGACGAAAGCTTTCGGGCTGTTGGCGTTTCGGAATTGGTGTTTTGCTGTTTGTTGGGCTTCGTTTTTTGAGGACTTGGGGGTTTGGGTTTGCGGCTTTGAGATTTGAGGTTTTAGTTAGAGACCCTAAACCCTAAAGCCTCCGAGCCTTAGTCCAGGGTTTGGGGTTTCGACTACAGGGGCTACTATTGTCGGGGGTTCCTTGTTATGAAAAACGATTATAGGATAATATACCCCAAAACCCTATTCTTATCATTAATTCCCCCCATATTAGGGTTCCTTGTTATGAAGAAAGGATATAGGACAATATACCCCAAAACCCTATTCTAATCATTAGTTCTCCCATATTAGGGTTCCTTGTTATGAAGAAAGGATATAGGATAATATACCTTTTTTAAGGTGTTGGGACAGCCGGGAGCCTGGGCCTTGAATTCTGGATTCCAGAACCTAAGGCCCCGGGTAGTTAAGCCCAGAATCTCTTTGGGGGGTCTCAATAATTCGAATAGAGCTCCAAAAACAGGTTCGTCTAAGGGTTGTATGAGGGCCCTATACGGGATTTAGGAGGGTCGGGGGACTTAGTATGCAGTTATTTTAGAGACTTAAAAGTACCATAACCCCTGTAGGATCCCTTTTAGGCTACTTTTGCTACCTACTTACTAAGTCCCCGACCCTCCAAGTAGGGGTTTAGGGTTCAACCGTAAGCCCCGAACCTTAACCTTAAACCCCATACGATTTTGGGAGGGTTGTGTTTTCTTGACAGGTTAGGGTGTAGGGTCTAGGTAGTCCAAAGGCTTCAAAGCACATGCATGTGCGCCAGCCTACACACCGAGGCATGGAAGCAAAATGCGAATAAAGAAATTTGAGTCTGCAAGCTGCTGCTGCGAGCCTCGACGCCGCACGAGTTTTTTGACCTGGTTCTTATGTTCCCGATGGTCTACGTCGTGCATGATTCCAAGTAGTTGACATTCCCTTCGAATGGCCGAGCAATCTTCGATGCCGCTTGTCGAGACGACCGCGGCCGACCGCCAGCTGCCGCTGATCATGGCCACGCCAGACGGAAGCGGTGGCATGCAAGGAGTCATCGACTGGAATGGACTGCGCGGTACCCGGTACTTAAAGGGTCATGGGACTTAGTAATTAGAGTTATAATTAGAGTAACTATACTTATAGTTACTTATAACCCCAATTAGGGTACTTATAACCCTACTTACTAAGTCCCATGATCCTCCAAGTAGACGACCACTTGGAGAGCGGCCGGATCAAGGCTCTCTGAACCGGAGCAGGCCCGCAGGATGCACAGCCCAGGCTCCTTCTCCTTGAACTTTGTGCGCGTTGCAAGCCCAGACCCTGGGGAGGATCCAACAAGTGGATCCCCTAATTTGGGGCCCTATAATATGGGTTTAGGGTTATACTATACGAAGGGTGCTCTACCATTAATGGATCTACTTTTTGGATCCTCCCGGATGTGCAATGCACGGCGGACGAGAGAGCCTGGTGGTAAGCCCATACTCTTGATGGACAAAATCCTGCATTGCCCATTATAAGGAATATACCATAGTTCCCATAGTTTCGAGTCCTTAGGGTCATGCAGGATTTTGTCCATCAGCAGTATCATTGCACCCTAAACCCCCTAGTAGAACCCTTGAAGACACCTGTCTCCAAACTTCTTGCCGTTTAAACCCCACAAAATGTAAAACGAAGGCATAGGGAGCCGTCAAAAAGCCGGAACCCATCTAATCTAAAGCTTAAGCCCCAAACCATATTCGCCCAAACCATAAACCTCAAACCTAAACCCTGAACCCTATTCCCCTAAACTCTACCTGGACACCAAATAACCTACCCTTTTAAGGACTTATACAATGAACTTGCATCAAGGAACCCTAGAAGGGTGGGTTCTTTAGCGTCCAGGTAAACCCTTCCAAAAGCAAAACCCTAGACCCCTCAACCCTTCACCCTAAACCCCTAAACCTAAACCCTGAACCCCTGCAGAAAAGGGCGTTCAAGAAAAAACCTTGAACCCCTAAATCCCTAAACCCGTAAACCCTAAACTCCCATCAAACCCCTAAACCCTAAACTCCCGTCATAAAAACACATGAGACCTCCGTGCAGTTGACCCCAGAGCAGATGGATGAGTTCAAAAAGCTGCAAGCCGAGGGGAAGCTGCCTGAGGCCCGTGATTTTAGGGTTTCGGGGGTAAGGGTTTAATTTTAGGGTTTAGGGTTTAGGAGTTTAGGGGTTAGGGGTTTAGGCTTCGGGTGTGGGGTTTAGTGGTTTGGGGTTTGTAGTTTAAGGTTTAGGGCTTAAGGGGTATAGGCTTATTTAGGGTTCAAGGTTTAGGGTTTTAGGGGTTTAGGGTTAGGGTGTAGGGTTTCGTGGCTAAGGCTTTAGGGTTTAAGGTATAGGGCTTGGGGTTTAAGGTTTAGGGTGGAGGGTTCAAGGTTTAGGGTTCAAGGTTTGGGGTGTAGGGTTTCACTTTTAGAGTTTAGGGTTTTGAAGTCTTCGCGACACCCTTAACCTCTTAAGTCTTTACCCTAACCCGAAACCCTAGGCCCTAAACCACTACACCCGAAACCCCTGCACCCGATAAGCCCTATATACCCCATGCCCTGAGCCCTACCCTAGGGGTCCTAACACTTCGGGGAACCTCAAAATCTACGAATTCTGAGACCCCAAAGAGACCCAAGGGCTCTCCCTAGGAGATTCCGGACCCTCCTAAGGAGATACCTGGACCCTTAGGGTAAACCCTTAATCCTCACCTGAGGGCTTCATAGGAGGTCAAAAGGGGTTTTAGCCCATGGGGGTTTAGTAGGGATTAGGGTTCCCATAATAGGGTTCATACTAAGGAATCCCACCCCAAGAATCTTAAACCCCCCTTTTGGCCTCCCATCAGGGCTTGCTGAGGGTTCCTTTAGTGGTTTTTTTTGGGGTTTCGGGGTGCTGGGGGAGTCTGGCAGTCGACGCTCGGCCAAGTGAGTGTTTCAGGGGACCTTTTTTGAAGGACGACCTCTTAGGTGTTTGTAATGTGGCTATATATATATATACACACACATACATGTATGTACATGTATATGCATACATATATATATATATATATATATATATATATGGTCACCCCCCCCCCCCATGACAGACCATGCCCTTTCGACTCAGTCGTAGTGCATGGTCTGTGATCGGGGGGAGGGGGCACTCAGCTTTCAAAGCCTCAATTCCAAAATTTCCAAAATTCTCTCCCCTAACTTTCCGGATTTCCAAAATTTCCAAAAAATTTCCAAAATTTCCAAAAAGTCCGCCCTTATGTTTTGGAAAAATCCTGTCGACTAGGTCAATTTTGGAAATTTTGGAAATTTTGGAAATTTTGGAAATTTTGGAAATTTTGGAAATTTTGGAAATTTCGGAAATTTTGGAAATTTTGGAAATTTTGGAAATTTTGGAAATGCGGAAAGTTAGGGGGGAGAATTTTGGAAATTTTGGAAATTTTGGAAATGCTGGAATCTGTTCTATATATGACTCAAGTAAGATTACTGTGTAGTGCTTACTATGTAGTGTATCAGCACAACCCTCATCCATACACGTGTGCTCTGTAATTCCTTTCTTGGTAGGACACCCGCGCGCCTTGTCGTGCTAGTCTCCGCATCGGACCAGATTACTTGCAAAGGCAAGGGCTGTCAATACTCATGCCCATATTTACACGAATATCTTTCTATCTATCTGTATATCTATATATACATATATGTATTGATACTCCTACATATAGTATTGCCATTGAACATACTGACATTGATCATTTGTTGAATGCTCAAGCTAATACCAGCATTACTACTAATATTACACTTCTATAAAGCTTAGTACGAATATGCATAACACAAATACTAAGATTGATTAGTATTGCTCTTAGTACTCCTACGCATATCAATAACCATATTCATATTGATAATAATGTATAATAATACCAATACTAACACACACCTGTATGTACTAATGTACATAAACATGCATACCACCATATTAAAATACAAATCCTTTAACTCACTCATGAATTCAACTGTTAGAATTTCACGTGGTCAAGAGTAATAACAATACAAACATTCTTTCGAATGTATATCATCAATAATATGATAGTACTAACGCTAACACTACTGCTAATACTTAACACAAAATCTATACTAACATCAATATTTACATAGCTATTTATACTCCTACGAATACGAATACGTAAACCCTTGTGCGTTAACAGTAGTGCTATCACCAACACTAATACGGACTTTGATAATCTGCTGCATATTCAAGAATGCCACTAGTATTACCAGCATGAACACTCATATTATGGCTATTACGAGTATAAATAGTCCTACTTCTACTAGTATTGACATTAATACTCCTACGAATACCAATAGTATATTCATATTGATATGAAAACTAATACCATTACTAATAGACACCTGCATATACTCATGTACATAAAATACGTACCACTATCTTAAGATACAGATATATACATCAGTGCATTCATGTATTAATGCTTTGGCATAGGCATATACCCATATACCAATGTATCAATATACTTCTCGTTGTTGTATGAATATACTATACGAATATGTGACTATAATCATATACGGCTACTGCACTATGCAAGAATACCGACATGACAAGTTCGTATACTAATATGCCAACATACTGATATACTTATACATGATTAGATAAAACAGTAATATAGTACACATATTCGTACACTAATATGCTAACGTACGAATATACTGGTATGTCAATATACTAGTAAGCTAATACAGCAGTATAGTAGTGTAGTCATGCACCAGTTGTACTAACATGTAAAATATACTAGTATACAAGTATGCAAATATTTTGCTGTCCGAATACATTGATGTATTGATATACTAATCTGCTAATATACGAGACTATCAATATACTAACATATCAAAACTAACTAGTTCTAATATTGATACTAATACTAGCACTTCTGCGAATATAAGCTGCTGTTAAACCCAGCATTAAGACTGATACTGATACTACTCGTAGCAGTGGTGCTGTATTACTGACATTGACACTGGCACTAGCGCTAACTCTAACACGAACATGAGCACTAACACTAATTTATAGTTGGCAATATTGATACGTATACTTACAGCAAGCAATAGTACTAATATTAATAACAATACTCACCCTAATACCGATACTACCACAAGACTATTACGTAACTCATGTGCCGCACGTCTGGTGCTATACTATATACCTCATGTAACGGTTTTGCTTCACAGAATATCGTTGTGCACGGTGTTTTTTAGACCCGTGGTCTGTCACCGGGGGGGGGGTGAGCATATATATATATGTGTGTGTGTGTATATGGTATCGGGACTTGTTGGTACGATCAGGTTCCTTTTTGGGTTTCTTTCCAGGGTTCCCTATGAGTCGCATGGGTCTCGGTCTTGAAATAGGGGCCATGTATTTTTAAAGAAGGCTTCCTAAAGCGAATTGCTCTCAAACTTTGAGTGCCTTTGCGGCTTATGTTGTTTGGTTTCTGGTGTGTTATAGGATCCTTAAGAGGGGGTGGTTCAAGGGGGGAGGGTACTAGGGAGCTTTGGGGAACCTTAGGGAAGCTTAGGGAGTCTTGGGGAATAATGGGGTTTACTACCTACCCCCTTGGACCACCCCCCCTTAAGGACATCCTAAGTGTGGGGCTGAAGGAGCTTTCGGGTTTAAGGTCGTAGGGTGTAGGCCTTTAGGGCTGTCAGTTGTGGATTCCGGCATGGGTACTACGGTGGATGATATAAATCCTGCATGACCCATTATAAGGAGTATACCATAATTCCCGTAGTTTCGGGTACTTAGGCTAATGCAGGATTTTTATCATCAACAGTATTGGCTCAGGGTCCCTGTAGGAGTTCTATCTTCAGGGCTTAAGGCTTTCATGAAGCCGTTGCCAGGGTTTCATCAGGGCTAGCACACATCTAGTATCAGTGCCTTAATTGGTGGTTCCTTATTTAGTGTACTGCGCCCCAAAACCCTATTCTAATCATGAAGGCAGCCATATTATGAAATCCTGTCATAAACCCTGAGAAACCCTAATCCCTAAACCCTAAACCTCCAAGTAAGGAAACCACAATCCATAAAGCCCTAAAGCCTAAACCCAAAACCCTGAACTAGAAGCCTTAAAGCCCTAAGACCCTAAACACCATCCCGGGCAGGTCCGCGCATAGGCGCCCTTCGAGGATTACCCGGCGCAGGTGGCTGCACTCTTGGCGTTCTTCAGGTTGGCTCTTAGGCTGAGGACTTTAACTATTTGGGTTGCTATATGAACTATTTAAAACTTTTAGGAGAGGTTCAGAAGTCAGCCACGCACTGTTGGCTAGGACGGGCCCGGCCTCCCAAAATGATACTTCCCCAAGTCCAATCCCTTGGGTGTAGGGTTTAGGGATGGGGTTTGAGGTTGGACGGGCCTCCCAAAATCACAAATTCCCAACTCCAATCCCTAAACCGTAGGGGCCTTAATGACTACCTATACATACCCTATTTTGGGCTTCCCAATTCATTATGGTGTTAGCATAAAGTGCCCCTTGCTAGACCTTTTTCCCGAAAGCATCGCGAAAGGTTCTTCCGTGCGAAGCCCTTGACAGAAGTACATAGAGTGAAGTGCATCGAGTGAAGTGCATAGTACATAGACTGCAGTACATAGAGTGAAGCACATCGAGTGAAGTACATCGAGTGAAGTGCATAGTACATAGAGTGAAGTGCATAGTACATAGAGTGAAGTACATAGAGTGAAGTGCATCGAGTGAAGTGCATAGTAAATAGAGCGAAGTGCATAGTACATAGAGTGAAGTACATAGAGTGAAGTGCATCGAGTGAAGTGCATAGTAAATAGAGCGAAGTGCATAGTACATAGAGTGAAGTACATAGAGTGAAGTGCATCGAGTGAAGTGCAGGGTAAATAGAGCGAAGTGCATAGTACATAGAGTGAAGTACATAGAGTGAAGTGCATTGAGTGAAGCCGGTGCCAGGCGACCTGAGCCCCGGCTCCTGCGGCCGAGGTCGGATCGTGCTGAAACGCGAGCGAAGGGCTGAACCGGACCTTGTAAAGAATACATAGCGGTTTGGGACAACTTTTAAGATCCCTTTGGCGACTTGGGATATTTTTTAAAATTCAAGACCCCTTTCTGGCTTATTATAGAGCCCAAACTCCAAGTAATTATGGGGACTGTTGAAGCGGGGAACAATGGGCACTCGACAATACACCCGCTTGCACATGTAACAACAGCAAGACTAATATGTGTGTTGTTTACAATAGCAACGATAAGCGCAATCGTAAGAACACTTTTTCCGCCATTAATACTAACCATGAGTAATGATACGAGTAGTAATCAAAGCCAGAAGAATGATGGTAGTACGAGCGATGGTGGTATCAGTTGTTGTTGTCGTCGTAGTAGTGGTAGTAGTAGCTGTTGTCGTCATACCAAGTAGAACAACAGCAATGATACGACCAAACAATAATGACGACAACACGATCACAAATTACATTGCTACCACTACTAAAATCCTAACAACAGGAAGAAAGATATGAGTAGTAACAACAAGCACAACGACACTCACGAATTGTTTCTTGTTGTTACTGTTAGGTGTGTTTTATACCTCTTTTTGACACAACTAGGTGCTGTTGTTATTGTGACTACTAACAACTTATTACGTTATACATATAGACACATTACATAACGAGTATATTTATATCCACGCACATGCCAAAGGGAATATGTGGCGGTATCTATTTACGCTGTGATTGGTAGTCCGGTGGCTGTTCAAGCATAGGGTCTTCTCCATGGTAGGTACCTGTAGTCGGTACCGGACCCCTTCTTTTAAGGCCGGTAGTTTTGGTAGCAGTTAAGCATAGGCTAACAAACCGCAACAGCTACTGTAGGGCCTTAGTAATTAGAATAGGGCTTGGGGGCCCATTATACTAAAATTATCATAAGGAACCACCCAAAATAGTATTGGTACTTCTTACGGCCCCTATATTACTCTAACCCCCTACACCAGCTAAGTAGAGCTGGAGTTCGGAACCAGCGTCTACAGCACAATCGAAGTTGGAGCCACTTCATGCGATCCGCCTTGCTGCTTATTACTTTCAATGCTTTCAACGCTTTTGGCGGCAGCTGGCGGCGTGACTGCTTCCATCGACTTCGGCCTAACAGTTGAGTATTAGGAAGTTGATAGCCTACCCTTTTGAGGACTTGTAATTGAAAGAAAATCAGGATAGGGAACCCTACAAAGGTAGGTTCTTCAGGCTCCAGGTAGGGTTTAGGGGTCAAAGATAGCCAGAACAGGCTAGAACAAGAGTGTCCCAGTAGACAATGCAGGTACTGCTATAAACCCCAAGCCCGTCCTTGCGAGTACAAGCTCAACCCTCTATCTCTACCGACCAGGAGTTTCAGAATCCTTGCTGCTTGGAGGATCATGAGACTTAGTATGTAGGGTTATAAGTACCCTAATTGGGGTTATATGTAGTTATAAGTATAGTTACTAAGTCCCATGATCCTCTAAGTACTCCAAGTTTTTAGATGCGTAGTTGTCCAAGTTTGGATCTCTTTCAGGATACCTTTTTTGTTGTTGTGTTCTGTACTGGTTTAGGGACTCCTAATTTGGAGCACTACCCAAATAATGCCTGCTTTGGAGCATGAGGTTTACAGATAGTACCTGCTTTGGGCTATTTGTGAGTTTCCGAAAATAGGGGACCCTAATATAGGACCCTAAATAGTAGGATCCTCATCATAAGGACCCCAAAATAAGGTACCCCTAATCTTCGGAAACTCGCATTTGTTGTGTTGTATAGGTTGCGGCCGGCTTGTGGTGGGGTCCATCGGGTTTAGGATTTAGGGCTTAGTGTTTAGGGTTTAGGGTTTAGAGTTTAGGGTTTAGGGTTTAGGGTATCGCATTTTGGGTGGTTGTCTTGGAGTCCCGTTGTGGATACATCTGTTTGTGGCTTACCGGGGATGGTGTGGGTTGTTGGGGACCCTAAACCCTTGACCCGAAATCCCAAGCACCCGAAGCCCTAAACCCGAAGGGTCCATGTACCCAAACAGTATATACTCTGGGCCCAATGTACCTATAGATAGGGAGTGCGTTAAGGCCAAGTATATACTATTTGGGTACATGGACGCTTAGGGGAAAACTCTAGCTTCCTAAAACCCTAAACCCTATAGCCCTAAACTCAAATCCAAGAACCCTAAGGCCATTGCACCTTGAAACGCAAAAGGCTAGGGTTTAAAGTTTTGGCTCTGTGTGGATTTGGGGTTACTTGCGCCCCCGGGCTGTTGTGCGGAAGCCTGACTCACTTTTTTCGAAGGGGAAAAGGAGGGACCCTTAATGGGGACCCCTACCCTATAATGGGCTGTATGATGGGTATATAATGGCTATATGTCATTAAGGGTCCCTCCCTTTACCCTTGGATTGTTGTTCTCAGGGGTATAGTTTGTCACCTTCTGTTTCAATGTATTATATACAACCATCCCTCCTCGGTGCTAAGGGATATACCGTTTTTACCCCATAACTAAAGGTCCCAGCCTGCGATTCCGTAAGGCTGGGGGTTTCGACTTGGGGCTACAGGTATGAGTCGAGAGCGCGGAGAGCCGGTCCAATACCCAGTTTGTACGGAACACCTTGAGATGTTCAGACCCAAACCCGTGAACCCTACCTATAGTCTCCATTGTAGTTCCCTTTTTCGTTAACCAAAATCTCCATTATAGGATCCTAACCCTAAAACTGGTTAACCAAAAAAAAGGAACTACAATGGAGACTCTAGGCAAACCCTTGCACCCTAAACCTCTGCTGCTTCCCGTGGTTACGGAGGGATATGGGAGCAATTATCGTCAGTGCTGCTTGCTCAATATATATTTCGCTTGACCCAAAGACCAAATCGTGGCCGAAGAGCGCAAAACGGTGGAACATAGTGCGTTGGTTTGTGCAGGCTTGTTGCAGTCACAAATCTGGTTGCAGAAGCCGAGCTTGACAGCTGAACGGTTCGAGGCTCATCGTGCACATGCCATGCATTCCTGGGCCTACATCCTAAATCCGCAGCATTCAGCTCTGAGCCCAGAAGCCAAAAGCCTTGAAACCCTAGGCCCTAACCTAAACTCCTCGTACACTTGGAAGCCCCGATGCCGAAGCAGCGACTTCAGACAGATCTTAGTACCACCTCGACTTTCAGGTATTTTCTATTCATACAACTGGAAAACCAAGCGACCTTAGTACTATCTCGACTTTCAGGTCGTTTCTATGCATAAAACTGGGAAACCAAGCAGAAGGGTATGAGATGAATGCATAGATCCACAAGCATCTCAATCACCAGACGTATCGGAGCCTCAATACCTTTTGTCAGGGTTTGGGGGTTTGTTTTTTTGTGTAGAGGGTTTAGGGTTTAGAGGGTTCAGGGTTTAAGGGTTTAGGGCTTAGGGTTAGTTGTTCACGAACCCCTGCTTCGTAGGAGCATGTGACCCCGAAACTCAAGTCTGATAGTGTAGCTGGTTACAAAAACCGGACATGTGAGGGGAGCATGACGTTGACATGGCATGGCTACGTGGCTGGGTGCTTCGGCTGGTCGCTTGGTCGTCAACTTGGCTGGGACTGTTGATAGTGCCCCATGAACCTTCACACAGCGGTCCGCCTTGGCAAGAAACTGTCGATGTTGGCATGGCGAGCCCACCTCAAGCATTGGACTACGGAACTCCTGTTTTGTAGACTTAGTAATACATCCTCCTGTTTTGCAGAGTTATTAATACATCCTACTCACTCCCTACTACCTTGTTTCACTCAACCTACAAACCCTAAACCCTAAACTTGTTTCACCCAACCGAAAGCCTGACTTCAAGCACAGGGGATGAAGAGGCGGTGATATGTCGTTTGGCTTTGGAACAAAAACGCCTCATCTCTGAAAGTGTCGTCCCTTCTTGCCCTTAAAACATGTTTCTGCTTGTTCACTACACCCTGAACTCCTTGCCTTAGTAGCTGAGTGGATACACTTTCTACTTTTTGGGATAATATTACCCACTATTGAACTGAAAGTTTATATACGCTTTTGTAGGGGCTTATGAACTCAGCAACCAAGTTCTGCTTGTTCACTAAACCCTAAGCTCCTTTCTCTTAAGCGACCCGAGCCCCGAAGCCTGTCGATACAATAACATACCCCAAGGGTCCAAAGGACCCAATAATC